ATAGCTGCCAAAACTTGCCTATCGATCTCATCTGCTTTTCTTTTCTAATTCGCGAGGCTATAATTTGGAAATACTTACGAGGTGTGTCAAAAAGTAAGGTGGGTTTTAAATTGTATCAAAAAGTATAAAATTTTAAATAAAATGCAGTTTCAAACATTTTTCTTATTATTATTAGTTAATTGGCTAAGCATATATATAGGACGATAAGTCAGCAAAGTGTTAAGTCCAAGTAAAATTTTCGTTTCCGAAATGGTTTTTGAGATATCGAAACCAAATTGGTTCTTGGAGATTGAGAACCCAATTGTATTCTATTTTTGAGTTTTCTAAGTAACAAACATATACTACAGGCTACCGTAATACCATTTTAAAATCTTCAGAGCTGAACTGTACCTGTTTATATATGGTTCGAGGGGGACGGAGCTATGAAGGGGCATGAACATGGTTTCGAATGACAGATGTCCGCAACTGAACTTATAACAAAAAAATAATACATTATCCAACTTTTAATATTCGCCTTAAATACAATAATTTTACGTAGAGAACGGTATAGAAAGATAACAGGATAAAAATTAACAGTTTTGTTATCGGTAGCTGTTTCGCAATTTCTGGCTCATCCTTCTGTGATGTCCACCACTGTATTCCATTTACTTTTTTTATTATTTCATCCGAAAACATATTGATATTTATTACTATTGACAAAAATCCAGTGTTTCCATATAAATTATTAATTGTTTCTAAAGCCAGATTCTTTTCTTCGGGTTTTAACTCAAATTTTTGTTTTTGAATGATATGGCGTGAGTGCCTGCTTATGTCGATCCTGATTTTTTTTTTTTTGATAAAGGTAAATTCTACAACATTCTCGAGCATATATTGTGAACATTTCCACTGATCTGCAGCATCTAAGATAGTAGCGTTTTTTCTCTATATCTTGTGCTGCATGTTTAAGCCCAATATTTGACACAACGCGATTGGGACGACTAAATCTCGCCCTAGCAGGATAATTATCTCGAATATACTTAACAAATTGCGAGTCTTCTTATAGTAAATTCAAAATATGTGCATAGCGGCCATTAGTTCTTTTCCTCCGAGAAGTTTTTCTCATGCTGCGTGATCTGTCTCAAGAAGCTACTTCAGTCAAATATTGTCAAGTATGAGGTTTTCCCGAAGTATCAATGGTTTCGCAAAGAAACGCTCATTCATCTTCAGTTGTTATTGTTGCACATATAACTGGCTCATTGTTGACGTTTGAGAAGAAAAAGTTTTGCCTTTTCCTCCTCAGATGTCATCTAAAAGGCGGCGTATAACCAGGTCTTAATAAGTGCTCGAATTAGCAGCAGGAATTGCCGTTGCCGTTTGTCGATCGAGCGTTCGCGAAGCGTCACTTTACCACGTCAGTTTCGTTTCTCACGGATCCGAGCCACTTCGGACATTTCCGCGATTTTACAGCACGGGAGCAATCGGATGTTTTCGGATGTTCGGTAAACTTTTTAAGTCATTCGTTTATTAAACACCCGCACCGCTGCGCTCCGTTACGCTGCGCTCCGTTACGCTGCGCTGTGCTCCGCCGTGCCAAATAAATTCCTGAGTCAAATGCCGTTTACCGCACTTCTTGCATAGACTATTGTGATTGCTACAAAAAAAAAACGGGAAAAATGTATATTCTTATGAAATTAAAAAAAGTCAATTAAAATAAAAAAAAATATATGATTTAAAAGAAATCTACGATTTTTCATTTTATTAAATAAAAATCAAAGTTTGCTCAAGATGTTTCGTTGAAAAGCACAGCGAGAAAGCTCGTCGTTGCACATCTGGTCCTGATTACGGCCCTGGCCACGGGATATTTATTATTCACGGACGGCGTTCCCAAGAATTTGACCGAAAATATTTTAAAGTCTTCAAATTGTACGCCTCTCCGAACACGAAAAACGTTAATAATCGACGCTAATAAACTAATAAGGTGATCTATTAAGCGTCCGGCCATTCGACCGAGGCCAATTTAATTTTTATGCGGGTATCGGGTATCCAAAATATTATTATACGCGTCGCCATGGGAATCGGACAGTGGTGGACCCAAAAAAACTGGCTACCAGTCCATATATATATATATATATATATATATATATATATATATATATATATATATATATATATATATATATATATATATATATATATATATATATATATATATATATATATATATATATATATATATATATATATATATATATATATATATATATATATATATATAGGGTTTTTCACTTAAAACTCCGCACGCCAATAAGTCCAAAACGAAAAGAAATATTTAATTTATGTAAAAAGTAGTCAAAGTGTGGGGTCAGGTAGATATTTTCTAAAGTTTAAAAAATTCGACGCCTGCAAAGAGCTGGGCGTCGCGACGCGTCGAAAAATTATTCGATTGCAGAGACTTTGGAAATACGCGCATACAAAAGTACATATTATTTAAAAACTTTTTTGTTATTTACTCAAACTTATTTACTTTACCCGTTTCTAAGTTATACCGATTTAAAGTAAACATTTCTTGATTAATAAAAAATGTGATTAACGCTTATTTTTACAAGTATGCCATGAATGTTAGTTACTATGGCAACCATTGTTATCGCAGTTGTTTTAAGTGCAATTACAAACAATAGATTTCAACTATTTTAGTATGATTTTATTTATTATTTTTTATCGATTTAGTTCTGATAACATGATTAATAAATGAAAAAACAATAAAATACCTACAAGTTAATAACCAAAATTATTATTGCAATTAACTACATAAGACATTTCAAAAATTTTGTTCAAAATTATGTCCATCTGCTCGAACACAACTATCAAAAACTTTTAACAGATGAGCTTGGGTCACTTGTAGGAGAGTCCTTCTTGTGATAGCGGCACACGCTGCACTAATTTTGTTAATGAGATCGGCCATATCTTCGATAGGTTCTTCATAGATAACGTTTTTTAGGTAGCCCCAAAGAAAATAATCTGGTGGTGTAATGTCCGGGGACCTCGCCGGCCACCTTACCGGTCCGTTAGTACCAAACCATCTATTGGGATATTCTCGGTTCAAATACCTCGTTACTATTTGGGCGTTATGTGCAGGCGCTCCATCCTGCTGTAGCCACATATTCATTCTAGTGTCAAGAGGCACTTCTTCTAATAGTTCCGGAAGTGTAGTTTGAAGAAATCTTAAATAGCGATCTGCATTTAAAGTTCCTTCGTAAAAGTAAGGTCCAATAAGGAATCCATTTAATATGCCGCACCAAACATTGATACTAAAAATTCGTTGGTTACCTCTTTCTGTAATCCAACGAGGACGGTTTTCGGACCAAAAACGACAGTTGTGTCTATTAACGATTCCATTATTTTGAAATCGACTTTCGTCGCTCCATAAAATTTTCGAGAGAAAATTTGCATCTTGGCTATACAAATCGGACAATGTCGTTAAGAAATACATTCTTCTAGCATAATCGCCTGGTTCTAGTTTATGAACTAGTTTACTTTTGTACGGGTGAAAAGAGTTTCTATGTAGAATTCTCCACGAAGAACTTATGGTAACACAGGTATTTTGTTTTATCTCTGATAGGGATATCTTGGGGTTATTATCGACCTGCTGAATTACAGCAGCAGTATTTTCATCATTTGTAGCCGTCCTGTTTCTATCTCTTTTAGGTTTTATGAAGCTGCCATATTCTCTTAAGTTTTTACATAAACTTGAAAAGGTTTTTGCATCGGGGACTATTCTATGCGGATAACGCCGTGCGTAAACTCTTTTTGCTTCTCTACAATTGCGTCTGCATTCTCCAAACACCAGTACCATGTCTACTTTTTCCTCATTGCTAAATTGCACCATTTTCACATAATATTTCTTAGTTTTTTTTAAACCGAACAAATTTGGATATTTCTTGTGACAAAATGTGACAATTTTTTGATACAGCAATAACAACTTACGTTTGTAATTGCACTTAAAACAACTGCGATAACAATGGTTGCCATAGTAACTAACATTCATGGCATACTTGTAAAAATAAGCGTTAATCACATTTTTTATTAATCAAGAAATGTTTACTTTAAATCGGTATAACTTAGAAACGGGTAAAGTAAATAAGTTTGAGTAAATAACAAAAAAGTTTTTAAATAATATGTACTTTTGTATGCGCGTATTTCCAAAGTCTCTGCAATCGAATAATTTTTCGACGCGTCGCGACGCCCAGCTCTTTGCCGGCGTCGAATTTTTTAAACTTTAGGAAATATCTACTTGACCCCACACTTTGACTACTTTTTACATAAATTAAATATTTCTTTTCGTTTTGGACTTATTGGCGTGCGGAGTTTTAAGTGAAAAACCCTGTATATATATATATATATATATATATATATATATATATATATATATATATATATATATATATATATATATATATATATATATATATATATATATATATATATATATATATATCACGACTAGCTTTCTTTTTTCTCTCCCACTCATATTGGCCGCTACTAACACTGTTATACGTTCTTTAGAAAGTTTTCCACCAACACACAGTCTCGGTCAAGCTCTGATGAAGCCAACAGGATGATTGGCGAAACGTCAGCAATTTCGACTAAGCAAAAACCGACTCAGGAGGAATCCAGAAGTTTTGTGAAAATCATCTCCAGAATATTTTTTTCTCCTTTTTTAAAAATGGGTTTTATTAAAGCGCTTACCAGTTGTAAACATTAGGTTAATAATATGGCAGACTGGCTTTGTGACTGATGTGATTTCTTATCAATAGAGAAGATATAATGTTGTCAAACTCTTGTAATGATATTTGTTTTATTACGTTTTTCGAATTGTTTGGTTTGAAGGAAAATTTCCTTCACAAAATGATAAATTTACTACATTTATTTACCAAATAGATAATGAACTTTACCTACTCTATGGCTGACTCACCATGTATAGTATCAACGCCGTTGGTCAACCGACATCGTTTTGTTTCCAGGTCCCGACATACCCGGGTTTCTCCTCCAGCCGTTCCGCAAGCCAAAGAGGATAAGGACGGCTTTCAGCCCTTCGCAGTTGTTGAAGCTGGAACACGCCTTCGAGAAGAACCACTACGTGGTGGGTGCCGAACGAAAACAACTGGCGCAGTCTCTGTCGCTTACCGAAACCCAGGTAATTATCCACGCTCCCGGACGAAAAGTTGAACGGAACACCTTGTATAATATTTTTTATATATACGTTATGTTTATCGGCCAGAAAGCATTGGCGAACAGCTAACGAAATAGGACGAAATTTTTCAAAGAAATTCCAATTGCAAAGCCTAATCCAAAAAGCAGATTAAGGAAACGCTATGGTGGTCAATTATCAATAGAAAATCAGACCTAACATTGGGTTATTGTGTTTACAAAAAACCTAGCACACCTCTCTTGTTGAAACTATCTCAGCCCGAGTCACTCACAAAATATCTTCCAATAGCAATGAAGCCGAACGCAATCCCACACTTGCCACTGCTGTCCTTACATTCCAAACAGTACTGACCACATATGAAAAGTTCTAAAGAAATATAACGTCAAAACCAGATTTACCACTTGTCGATAAATCTCTCAACATCTTCGATTCGTCCATTTGAGATGCCAGCAGTTTAGATCCGAAGAAAAATATCAACTATCAATGATACTTTTGCTATTTGGCCTCATGGTGGAGATTTTCTTGGCCTTAAACTCGGTACACCCTAACATACGTTTTATCATTGAACTAGTAACTACCAATAATCTTAGATTCATCAGTTATCAACTCCCTGACCACATATCAAAAGAAAAATTATAAATAGTAATAAGGGATAATATAAAACATAAAATTCATTCACCTGTTTTGCCAGTTATTGTGAAGAAACTCCTCCAAGGAGTATATTGTTTTACTCCATATAATTTTGTTTTAGTGAGTGTTTGCAGTTTACTAGGTGCGGACTTTACCAGCTGTTAAAAAGTGCTGTAAATTTTTAAATCACAGTAAATTTCTTTGGATCCCGGAAGAGGTCTCTACACGAAAAGGTATTTACTGTTCTGATGATAAGATGATGCATAAGATAGTGTGGAGGATAAAAGGATAGCCACCCTATTTAAAAATTTTCTCTTTTTCGGCATGAAAGAGTATGTATTAATTTTGTTAGCAACTGGTTTGATGATGTGAAGATAGGTTAAAATCCAAGTTTATGCCGAAGAATTTTACTCCGCTAAATAGGACCACTGTCTGAGGTTATAAAAATATCCCTGTGTGAGGAACTAACTTTGTTTTATTCAAAGCTAATATTTAATAATAATATTTAATAATAATAATAATAATAATAATAATAATATATCAAAGATAATATTTTGCAAAAATGCCCGTATTTTTTTTATTAAATGTTTTCGAAATGCAGGATCTCAGTATTTATCGAAAAAATTGTTTTTTGTCTACTTTTATATTTTGGGATTTTTTGATAATGTAATAATTTTTTTTGATCGAGTATTTAAAATGAAACTTTTTTCAATATAGAATTTCAATTTCGATTGTTTTTAGGAAATCGAATTTTTAATTATTATTCAAGAATGTTGGGATGGTTTCCTATTTGTTCTTTGATTTTAGTAAATTTTTGAAAGCAAAAATTTTGAAACGTCCTGTATAATATTCGTCGTCACGCGAGTACTTATAACATATTATCATTATACAAACGTGAGATGTAAATTAAGTGAAATTGCGCGTATAGAATTCGATATTTAATTGCCCTCACCCAATCAAATTAATTAGTTTAATTCACATAAAAACACCAATAAAATACCACCCGTTGGCGGCTTTTCAAAGAGATACCTAACCATTTCGCGATTTGCAAATGAATGAAATAATAAGACCCATTTGTATAAGTATAGCTCAAGCAGCAGAAGAATTTAATTTTCGAAAATGTTTTTTTTTTATTTTAAAATTTCTTGATAATTTGTTAGGCGGTGATATTTTTATATATATTTTTTTTCTTTAGCGTATAAATTCTGAAAATTTACAACGACTTTAAACGCATTAAATTATCAATTCAATTCCAATTTGCCAGAAAAAAATGAATAATCTCACAGGCCAACAAAGATTTTGTAATTTGGTTAGTTTTGGTTAGTTTTGGTTAGTCAACACAAATTCGATGTTTGAAAATGGCAAAAAAGTCCGTATCTAAAAATCCAATATTTTTTGTGCTATAGTCGGTTCGATTTGCGATGGCATAGTCGGTCATAAAACCAAGAGAGGAGGTGCTTCACTATTTTATCTGCTTTTACCGGATAACTACAGTGGTGGTGGGAAATTCGAAACTCCATCTTCAATTATTATATATAATGCACGATATCATTCTATACTTAGTCAAAGTGTACCAATTGCGTTGACAAGGAAAGAACAAACGATCAATTGTCTGGGCAGTAAGCGCATTGATTACCCGGAAAATAATAATAAAAATATTTCTTTATTAGCTCGGGATGCTACATACAAAAACAATTGTTTACAAAGTTTTACAAAATGCATGAACAAAGCATGCCTACATTAGATATCTTAATTATTAGGCTTGAAAAAGATGAAATGTGGCAGAACTACCTTATGGAAGTGTATACAACATATGGATTTTAGATTTAAAAAAATTGACAAAAGGCAAGTTTTAATGGAATCTTAGAATTCGGAAATGGCCACTGGAATATCTAGAAAAAATTAGGATTTACAGAGAACCACAAAGGCCAATTATTTTCTTGGATGAAACCTGGTTCGACACTTATGATACCCCGCTCCGGGAATGAGGCAGGCGAGGCTTATGATGGATGGGCCCGCCCTTCCTCGGACCAGGGAGCTGCTTAGACCGACCAGAAGGGAGTGTAGAGCACTAACCGGGGCCTACACAGGACATTGCAGGCTTAGGAGGCATCTTTGCTTGCTAGGCATTGGAGACGACCCGGAGTGTAGGTGGTGCATGGAAGGGGAGGAGACCCCGTATCATCTGCTCACCGAGTGCCCTGCCTTGACATGGGTAAGATTGGGAGTCTTCGGAACGGCCCTGATCCATCCGGTCTCAGTGCACGGTATTGGGCTAAAGGAGTTGCTGACCTTCTATAGGAGGGGCGGCATTGTGGACCCCCTCTAGAGCGGCCTGGGGGCACAACGGGCCCATCTGGTGGCCTAAGTGCTTGGACGCCCGCGAGGGCGCCCCCCTTTAATACCAATACCCCGGAAAACGGTTGGGTTGACTCAACTGAGAAGTGCAAAACAAACGCGCCATCAAAAAGAGGTAAAAGAATAACTATTTTGCATGCTGGTTCTAAATATGGTTGGATTCCAAATGGACTTTCTCTGTCTGCGAAAAATATGAAAGATTCTTCTCTGGATTACCATGAAGACGCCACCACTGATTTATTTGAAAGTTGGTTTGAAAACAAACTAGTTCCAAACATTCCTCCTAATAGCGTCATTGTAATGGACAATGCAAGTTATCACAGTAGACAGTTGACTAAAACCCCTTCCTCGTGTGACACGCAAGCAACAATCCAAAACTACATGTATAATAACGACATTTATTTTCACGAAGATTATACCAAAAAGCAATTAATTGAGGTTCTACAAAGCATGAGCCTACAAAAGGAATACGTGTATGATAATTATGCAAACAATCTAGGGCATACAGTTTTAAGGCTTCCACCTTACCACTGTATATTTAATCCCATTGAACATGTTTGGTAAAAACTGAAATCGGCCATTCGTCGCAACAATGTTTTTCTCCGTGTTAACTCCAATGTTCTCAAACTTATATAAACCGAAGTTTTTAACATCTCTCCACAAAATTGGGCAAATTCTGTTAAACATATAGAAAAGGCAGAACAGTCGTATATCCATATTGCAAATAATATAGAACAAATATTAATTAGAACAGGCGATGATAGCGATAGTGATACTGATATATTATGTGAATAATTTTAAGTAATTTGAGTAGGTAATAAAAAATAATTCGTAATTTTATTTTAGATTTAAACATAAATACATAAATATTGTTTAGTATCTTTCCTAACAAAACTCCAAATAATTAAATTCTAAGCAAAGTACGGACCTGTTCGGTCATATTTCATTCTTGCCCGGGTCTTTCCTTAATTCGTATCAGTTAGTCATTTCTTATATCTATGAATAGACTTTACTTAATTTTATTTTCGTGTACATCTCATTATTTATTTCAATTTTTGTGTTTTCTATATTAACAGTACTCAATTTTTCCGCGAATAATTCGATTTTGCTATCGTTCAGTTCCTTGCGGCACTCCATACATTTTATCGACAGTATCAGACGCACTATTTTTAAATATAACTTTTTGGGTTCTGTTATACAAATAAGATCTGAACCAATTTAAAACTGAACCTCGTATGCCTAGTATGATAAATTGTGTCCTTACCATGGTATATTTAATGCCACAGAAGTGACGGGGCATCAGTGCAAAGTATTTTTCAATAGACATATTAAACGTAAGGTATGGCACGATGATACTGCAGTAGTATCTGTTTGGAAGGAAGCCTCTAGGTAAAATTGGATCAGTTGTATAACACACACAGAAATATAATAAAAAAATGCTGAGAAAACACTTGATATAACGGTACCACCACCAACGTATACCAAGGATTATTTTCTGGTAGTCGCAGTTTCAATATAGGCCCTGATGATGAAGACATTCAATCGTAAATTCGAACTAAATACGGTTTACTTGAATATTTGCTCGTGGCAAATTATATTTTATTTATTTTTTAATTTTTCCATTGGTTCTTTTTTTTAAATATTTTTATTGCATTGTTATAATTTCTTCCCACTTAATACCCTCTCATTTCTTGGTACGCCGTAAAACCATCAAAAATGTACTCTACAGCTCTGCCAACTAACAACAACTAACCAAAACTGAAAGGTTTCACTCGAAAACGTTGGTATTTCCTATTATTTTTTTTACTCTCCTCTTTTCACATCGAATTATCTCCATTATTTTGATTGCCGCGCCATTTTAATAGGATAATTGCCCGGCCAATAAGTCTCCTCCCTCTCGACGTACGTCGTCGTCCCCCCACCCTTCTCGTAGACCGATCATCGCCGAACAATAAAAATCCCCCCACCCCCTGCACCCTGGATCACTCGCTATTCAT